ACCATGAGTTTTCTTGGCCACTCCTATGTAGTGTGTTGCTTTTTGTAATAAAGTCAAAAATTGGGCGCTAAGGTGTGCCAACCCCTAATTGGTCGGGGGCCAAATCTCGCGTCGTACACTGCCTAGGTCAACCACGCCGGCTTCGTGGCTGGGTATCAGGCTTATCCTGCAAGGATAAAGCACTGGTTAGTCCTCTGCTCACCCCTACAAGTCACTCTATTGGCCATGCCGCATTAACATGCTACCATGATTCTGAGTTGAAGTAGAACGCGTGGCGTATCTCAAAAAATTGACTAAGGCTGGAGGTTTTATGTTTTTTTTTCGACCAAAAAAGATAGCCGAACACTTTCTGTAAAACGCGCCATGTATCCGACTCGGATGGAAATTTGTAGGAAATCAGAACGTTTTCCTAGCCTACACAATGATTCGAGAAACGTGGTCCAGTCCACAGCTGTTTCTTCAGAGGGGAAACAGCAGACAAGGACGAAGGAAAAAAAGCCAAAAACCATCAGTGGGTGGGGCATGGGACTTGGTGGGCGGGGCGATAGTCCAGAGCTGGCATGGAGACAGAGAAATAAGCGGAAACTAGCTATATTCGTAGTGTGTCCACCCAAATTTAGATTTTTGAGATAATTTTTTTCAAAAACAAAAAAATAAATAAATGAACCATTTTTTGAGACTTCACGCCGCTCTATTCCCTATCGCCGCAGAATTGTGTTGTGCGTACAACGGCGTACGGCGCCAACTGGTGATAAAATAATCAAATATGTAGTTGCGGAGATATACCCATAGCGGGCTGTCACCAATCTGTTAATGAACCTCAAAAATGACGAAAGTTTTGAGGAGATCGAAAAAAGAAAAATGGAGCTTATAGCAAAAAGTTAATTAATTACTGGCTTTGAAAGTGGGCAACTTTTAGCAAGTGAACCATACGAAGTCGCCAAGGCAGCCAATACTCCCGAATTCCTAAATTTGGCTACAGACAATCAACGCAAGGAGTACATCGGTTCGTTTGCACTATCTTTTTTAGTATTGGATTGGAATGAAAGTCTTCCGACACTTTTGCCCATTTTCACTTTTATATTTATTTACATTTTCCACCCTCGTTTTCTTTACTGCGGGCCCATTTCCCAAAAATGTTCTCATATTCGTGGGCAAGATCAGTTCGATTCTGGTGCCTGAATATAAAGAATGTGATAGGAATAAATGCCATAGGAACGAATAGGAAGAGTGGGTCTCATCCAGTAAGGGGGGCATCAAGTGGCTGCCCTCCACCCCCCCCCCCTAGACTGCCTACACTCCCCCTGGCGCACCGGTTTCTCGAAGTACGGGACCCTGTGAGCCAGGGGGAGTGAAGGCAGTCTAGGGGGTGGGAGGTGAGGGCGGATTGCGTAGGACATCTGACCAAACCGACAATAGATGACGCTTCAGGGACGGTGGCGCCTCATCAAGGGCGTGATAAGGTGATGAAGAAACTTCTTCTTCTTCTTGAAAAGAACTTAACCACTCAGGGTTCGCTGTGAAAGACTGGGTTGCAAACAGGTGTGTGGTTGACGTGTGAAAGCTTTCTTGCTTGCTCGATCTTCTTCCATGGTGCTGCTCATAAGGGGAGACCTTACCGAGCTTTGACTCATCGGGACAATCTACTCACAGCTCTTATCTCGACTCCTTCCGCGAACGACGTTTGGAACTCCTTTCCACCTGAGGGCCAGTGTGATCGCTCTCTTTGAAGGAGCATTCCACTATAAGAACGAAGGTTGAAAAAGGGGTATCCACCTAGTGGAGAGACTGGCGGATCCCCTAGGGGTGCGGACCAACACGCAATTCGCATCGAAGGATTATGCCTCGACGATATAGCTTGGTTCCTCGCGCTGTAGAATGGCACGACTGTGCTAATCTTGACGCCAGCAGTCTCTAGGCGTTATAGCTTATTGTTGGAGAGCCTTGTTGTTAATTGTTGAAAAGTACAGCAGCGATGAGAGGGCGGAAACCATGGGACAAGGAAGGGGCCTATTTCTCGGGTTCCGGGCCGTTTATGGTTTCTTATCCCTGCTCCACTGACCACCTACCCTTATTTCCGCCTTCAATGCAACAACCCCAGATCAAAGGTGGAGTAAAAGTGATCGATCATGAAAGTGGAATATCGAGTTATACCATACCTATTGAATCTATCGCACTATCTTAACAGCTATGTTGTATGCCACGTTGTATGTGATCTTGACCACCTATTTGAGGCCTTACATCGCCTTTTTAAGCGACACTTCTCCTGCCTTCTAGCAAATCCTATTCTTCTTGATGGGTGTCCCCCAAGAGGCCCATCGGGCAACGAAGCAAGAGACGCAGATGCGGCAAAGGACGAGTCGCAGCGCGTGCTGTGCGATATGAGACGTAGTATGGTACAATCTTCGACCTGACGCCTAACGCTATTGGTAAGCACTGACCTACCAGGGTCAACCGTCCGTTGGACAAAGTCCAACGCGACGACGAGAGTAATGCCGAGAGTGAACGTACGCACGGAGACACAGACGGCTCGCGGGTGGCGAGAGTGAATGCCGGCGCGGAGAGCGGTGAACATCGGTCCAACGTCGCTCCAATATCGGTCCAACGTAACGGTTGACCCTGCTGCACCGCGTCTTGCCGGTCTGCCGTCTCCCTCTTCGCCCGCGCGATGGGCCTCTTGCAAGACACCCCTTCTCGACTAGGGCTCATGCATCTTTTCACCAGATTGATGGCAATTGTGTGGACACATCTGGGTTGTTGCTTTAAATGACTGCTAACTAAACTGGATAGCCCATAACTGTTACTGTGTCAATGTTTATCGCTGTGATGTAATGACGACAATGACTGTTATATAAAGTACCTGCTCATATAAGCCACCTTTCGGCTTTTCCATGGTGTTTTTTTCGAGCGTTAGGAAAGGCGAGCGATGGCATAAACAACCGCTAACGCAACAAGAACCAAATCTTCTGAGATATTATGTCTTTGATAGCACCCTTTACCATATAAGACACGCACACGCACATCCGCTTCATAATTTGTTGCCATGGACTGTATGTAATGTTCTGGAGATTTCCCCAAGCAACAGCACTTGTAAGTACCTTTTTGACTTGGGCGATATTTTTTCCTCAGGTGCTAGGGGAGCGATGAAGTGCAAGTAATCGCAATCAAGACCATATCAGATCGCTATGGCAAGACCAAACTGCTTTTTGTTACTGGAGGAAATTGGCTCTGCCACTTCATATCGCATCACGCCCACCGCGCACTTAGAGGATAAACTGGCAAACTCACCGACTCTCGGAATTTTGAGAGACCGAAAAAACGTTAGAAACATAAATTTTGAGTTGTTTTTAATTGATAACTGCAGTTTTTGGCCGCAGTTTGCCTTGAGTAACTTAGACTAGAAACATATATAGTTCTACGTCAACAATATTTAAGCTTCAACTGAAAAAGAATGTTCCTTCAGAATTGGAAAGTAATATGAATGTACCCGTGGGAACGTTGAGGAAAGCGCAGGATACTTGGGCATTGAAAATTGGAGACCCAGTTCTGGTGAGTATTATATTTGATTTTATTATGACTTTAATATGGAGAGGCAAGGAATCGAACTAATACTTTTTACCTGTTGAGGGACGGATCTCACGGACCGGAGGGGCTTTTGAGATGAAGCAGCCCCTTAGAGTCCAAATTTCAATAGCCGTTTTACTGGGAAGCCCCTACGGATAGAACTACCTTTGAGGCCAGGTTCATTCACCATGTCTTAATGTGGCGAATGGAGTTTTACCAATGGAACTAGGGCAAATTCATATTTCTCAAATTATTAGAGCGCTTTCCGAAGAGTAGTTTAGCGCGGCTCACTCCTCCTGCTTCGCAAGTTTCCGTGTAAGGGTCCTAGAGCACCTGCCGTAGCCGCCAATGACTCGCTCGTCTTGCTTGCTGCTCGCGATGCAATGGTCTACGCGGCGCAGTGTATCGGTCTCGCTCGCCGCTGTGCTCTCTCGTGTGTTCTTTCTCCCTGTCGTGCAGTGCTTTCGCAGCTCTGCGCTCCCCTCAAGGAAGAGAAGTATTACTTAAGTGCTTTCTGCTTTTTCTTTAAGTGTTTTTTTAACTGCAAATTATCAGCGAGCTACAAATAATAATCAAGTAATTGATACAACTTTAATTTCATTATGCAGAGTGCTTATGGCCAACATGTAGCTACCGAAGATGCCGCCAAAGCAGCTGAAACTGCTCGCATGGACAAAGCAGTGGAGAGCCTATCGCAGGCAGCTCAAGAAGCGGATAAGATTATTCGAGGCCAGTTTTGTTGGGTCACCGGTGTCAGACTTGTACTCTAGCGGTGTACTCTTTGCAGAGCGAGTCGAGGATGGTACGAGCGTACATAGTGCGTAACTGAAACTGCATTAGCTTTGTCGAACGGTCACAGAGGTTTTGATTGACTAACTAGCGACTTTGATGCTCAAAGTGGCGAACTTCCTGCTTTGGGTATGAGAGAGCGAGAGAGCATGAAAGCTCATGAAAATGGCGAGAGTCACGTGCAAATGAGAGGAAGTCCCGCCACTTTCAAACATAGACGTGTCGCTGGTACATCGTTCGAATCGTTGCTGCGCAATTCAGAACACTGGCACCCAGTTCGATTCGCTTATGCGACCCTCATACCCCCGACTCGCCAGCGACTCGCTGAGTTCGCAAAGTCTGGCACCGACCTTACGTGGACTATAGCGATGTATGTAGGGCGCCACATGTCATTCCCAACCATTCCCACGTCCTTCGGGACGCTAGTAGCGAGTGATTTGAAAGAAGAAATTAAGTAATTAAACTTCTCCTTTTTGTGCTTCTAGTGCAGCGGGCTGATCCAGTAGGAGTGAGTTCGAGCAGTTCGCACAACTATTGGCGGAGCTCTGAGATACAAAATCAGATAAATGAAGAAAATCGAGCATAAATGCAAGAAAAATCGAGCAAAACTTCTACTCGATGTTCTTTCACTTTTCTCAACTGCTTCTCTTCAGGAATTATCTCGAATGAATCTTTGACAAGAAAAGAAATTAACGCCATGGTAGCGGAACAAATGGAACAGCTACCAAAGAAGGTCATCAACGAACTCACTGTGGCTCGATTGCAATGCTATTCGAATACTTTGTCGAACTGTCATGTGTTGCTATGCAGCTTGTGAGCTCTGTGAATGGATTTTTATACAAAATTCACAACCGTATTTATTCATTTGTTCATCAGAGCCCATAAGATAAATATCAATTTCCATGCTTGTTGCACACATAACCGATTTTCAAAAGCATACCCCCAAGATCACACTGGTGTGACATTTGCCTACGGATGCGAATGTATTGGTGCGAAATGGCCGGCAGTAAAGAAAGGAGGAGAATCCGTCCGAGACGTTCACTCAACTTCTTGGTCCCGCCTCACCCCACATACATACATGAGTGCAAACTCTCCACCATCAACGCGAACGGTGTAACGAAATTGGTGACATCAACATTTCGAAGAAGTTTATCAGCTCCTACTAGTACTCTGGATAAAGTCGTATTATTTTCTCACGATACGGCGCTTATCTCGGTCGGATAGTAATCAGGGTTCTTCCCAGAATCATATCCTGTAGCATCCTTGAGAAACTTGTTCGTTATGAAGCCACCCCGACAAATTCTAGCGTGAGCTGACACTTCAACAACTTCCTGCGTCTCTTTTGCTAGGGTTTTCCTTTTACGGAAGTTCGACAGCGGTTTTGCCTTTGCTATAAGCTAAGGGACTTGAGTGGGTAATAATTTCAAAATTTGATTGGGTAAAAGCAAAATGCAGCAGAGAAACATGTGGTGGAACTATGATTTTGCGTCATAGGCAAGTCGGGTATTTTCGAAAAAATGAGGATAAAAATTTTTTGCTTTCTCAAACTGGATTTCCGTGATAATATTCAGATTCGCATTTGCATGTGTCACAATTTGTCTGTAGAGCCCTTTTCAAAAACATCTCCAAATTCTAGTTTTTGGGAAATTTGTAGGTGGAACTAAGATTATGCGTCGCAGTGTATGTAATAATGAATTGTCCAATAAATATAAGGATGGAGGCGCCAGCAGGGTGAATATCGGTCGAGGAAATCCTCGACAGGGGGGTCGTACCTGTTGGGCTGGTCCATGGGGGGTCGTACTCTTGGGGGTCAGTAACAGAAGTGGTATCATGGTGCAGATAGGTAATAGGGTATAGCGCAGCAGAAAATGAAAACATCCGAAAAAAACATGATATTAAATTTTCTTTGCAGGTTCAGTCGCTCCATTCCTCCACCTTCATGAGAAGGGCGTATTTGAAGGCAGTACAAAGAATGAAAGTGCATCCCCGCAAAGAAGACTGCCACATGTGCGCACGCGCTGCAAAGGCACCTCCTCTGCCTATCACTCGCTCCTTCTCCCTTAATACCTCGCTGAGAATGACGCTGTTGTTAGGGACCCTGTCGGAAAAACGACAACCGTGAAGAAAAAGCGCTGGGCAAATGAAGTTGTTTTTTAGGTTACAGGAATAGCACAACACACTATGTCTACTACAATACAGTTTCGTTCGAAGGTCCCCATCATATAACACCTTTCAATCGATTCTGCAACTGTGAGTGGAGGAGGGATGCATGGCTTATACCAATACCAAATCGGATGATGACGATTGCTCCTATTCTTATTGTTTGCGTTCAAAGATATTGTTCTAGACACATTCCGAGTGTTGCCAACGAGTCACACTTGCAATGGTGAATGAGGGAGCGGATTTCCAGGTGGCCGGATCCGACCTCGATAGATCCTCGACGCAATTATCTCTTCAACCAAAAAGCTGTAGAAGAAAACTAAACAGACCATCAGGAAGCGCAAACCTTCCGCTTTCCAAAACTATCTTCCCTTTTTCAGGATCTTACAATATAAGAGATATATTGCTCTTGAAGTGGCAAAAACTCGCGTGAAAATTTCGGCCTCCTCGACATTTACTCGACGAAATTTGAGAGACCCTATCTTTCTGCAAGGAAGGCTTCCAGAGCAATTTCGATGCTTGTTGGAAACGCGAAATCCAGCTCTATCTAACTCTACCTCAAGCTGCTTCAAAGGTTGTGAAATGGAGGAATGCAACCTTTTCATCGAGGGTGTAGATTCGGACGTTTTTTTTTTGAATTTCGGCAAATCTGACCCAGTGACAATCGCGCCGCAGCTGCCGTTGAATCGGCCTTTGATACACTCGGCTGTTTTGATATACTCAAGCAAGAATCAAGATTGAATCGCAACCCCGTGTCTTCAGGATTTCTGTGCGTTTCTGAACGAACCTCGCCTTGAGGTCACACAAAGTTAATGCCTCTTTCCTCGAGTCGATATTTCAGTATGTACACAAAAGTATGCAGCGATGGAAGACGTGCATAGATGACAAGATGAAGCGTCCTTAGCATTATTTTGCAGAATTTTTTTGATTTGTTTTGCAGGATTTATTTTAATTGAATTAATTTGCTCTGTTAGAGGGGGTCGTGCCAGGATCTCGATTTCGGGGGGGGGTCGTACCTCTGCGACCACGTACTCGACACGATTTTCACCCTGGCCCAGTGGGAGGGAGAAGGAAATCATGAGAAACGGCCCAGAACCCGAGAAATGGGACCCCTTCCTTGCCCGTTGATTTGAGCATTGATGCGACTCTCATCGCTGTGCCCTCTTCAACACTACGCTCTCTCTGCTATCTAATCACTCGCCACGTATAGACCTGCGGCGAGTGATTAGATAGTCGGTGGGCGTACCCCGCCAACCGCGCCAAGAGTGAGCCATGCTAAATCGCCGAGGTCAAATCTCTATGCTCGCTTGCCATGGGCGCGTCGAATCAGCACGCCACTTAGAGGTTCCGCTTCCTGTGGTCTCCACGTATGCGGAATATATTCCCTTCACTGACCTTCGTTTGTTTATCCGTGATTATTTTCCCGCCTTATGCCTCGGACAGAGTTATGCGCGAGAATGATCACAAGTGTGCTCGTTATTACGCCCGCTATCGCGCGCGCATCACACGGCAGGCTTTAGCGAAATTGGAGGACCCATGGAATATCAGCATGAGATACTCCATTAACCATCTCACTATTGACTGTGTTAGACCCTCCACAGTTTCACTGAAGCTCATCGAGAATACGCGTGATAACGTCTGAGCTGAACTGGTATGATTGATTACAACTCTGTAAAAGCAATTACAGAGCTCTTCCCTTGAATTAAAAGATAGTAAAATGAATTAAGCGGCTGAATACGAGATTAGTGGATCTTGTACGTCCAGCCTTCAAATGCAAAAAAACGACACTCTCGTCCTTATTATTACATGAAGTGAGGAGCTAGGACTGCTTTATATTCTTGTCTATCATATTACATTCATCACTGAATTAGAACGAATAGGGATTAGCCGGGCAGATTAATTGCGTGTTAGAGGATAACTACTCTCAATAGGTCCACGTACATGTCGGAAAACTTATGAGTCATATACTCCGCATGGCTTGATGACGTGTGATTATGTTAAAGTTCTATTCCGGCAGCGCATTGTATTATTACGCTCGCTGGATAACGCACAGTCGTGGTTATTATTCTCGACATATGATGAATAGCACCGGTCTAGCCGTACTGATAACCTCGTAAACTACGTTTACGAGGCTTGCTTCCAACACTTTTGAATTAAGTTAGGAGGATAACGCAAAAAAACGGCTCTCTCGCAATTCCTGTTAAACGATCGTTGGCTTCATCTCGCTATAACAACGGGATGGATCGACGACTTCAGCGTTCTGGCGCGCCTTATCGGCCCTTATCAATCGTTATCAGTTTCTGGCACCCACCAACAATGTCCCCGTCCCACCCCACATAACACTTGTAAGTATGGTTGCTCTGGTGTCAACGCGAGCCAGGCAACGGAATCGACGACTTTTGCGTTCTAGCGCATCTTATCAGCCATTATCAGTTGCTATCGCTTCCAATCATGTACCACCAATGTCCCGGGACCGCCCCACATAAGACTTGTAAGTATAGACGCTCTTTTACCAATATGAACGGCAAAACGAAATTGGCGATGCTCGCTTTCTAGCCCCTCTTATCAGCTATTATCAGTCGTTATCAGTTCCTATCACGTACCACTTGTGTCCCCATCCCACCC